ATTTGCATTCAGTTCTTTTGTTAAAAGTTTATTCGGGTGAAGAAAGGAACTTGACGAAATAAGGTCCCAAGTGGCTTCCATAGCTCGCTTTTCTTTAGAGCGCAATGCGACGATCCAATAAGTGAAAGAGGATCCAATCTTTTTAAAACCAATTTTTCGACAACGCAGCAACTGCCTCATTTCCCTGCTTTTGTTTACCGGCTCAAAAACAAAAATTATCGCTTTGTCTTCATTAGGTCATGAAAAATTTTGGCTTCCCATATTGTGAGTATTCGAAAAGCGAAGAGGAGGATGCTTCAGATGTTGAACTCTTATCTCTGGTACTCTAAAACTGTATCCATTTTAATTGTAGACTGATTATTGAATATTTAAAATTGGCTTGAATCGATGTTCTATTGTATTTTAGTAGGGAATCTAAACTTTAGGAGATGCAAAAATTAAGCGAAAGTGCAAATTGCTATCCTGAAAAAGGACAAATCGATTTCGTAGGCTTAAATGCACACGCTGAGAATATCCTCAGCTCAATTCGCATAACCTGCGTCTGTGGAATATTGGACAAATTATTCTCTTGTCGTGGCTTCTGCAATAACGAAGGTCATAAAGGCCGAAATTTCAGGTTTTTACTTCTCCGAATGGTATATATGTTTGGATCCTTGCTGGCGGTCGTGGATGGGCACGTGTTAACATTAATGAAAGAAATCCTCTAGGAACAAAATGGACTGCGGTTCAGTTTTTTTTCTTGAAATCCATCTTGATTATGCTCTCATTGTAGCTTTCCAGACTTATCATACTTGTGATTTGTGCAGTTTGGCTGTCGGAGACAATGTCGTTTGGGCCCTTGACAGCTCAGGGCAGCTGTTGCGATTACGCGGCTTAGCGGCTGGTAACCCTGCAGGGAACTACTGGCGACCTATTTCTCAAGCAGTTTTCAGGTAACCTTATTGGGTGATGAAACCTTTTTGAATTCTCTTCATAGTTGAAATTATCAGCGTTGATGTAAAGAGAAGAGATAACACATTAGATGTTTGGTTTTGCAAAAAAA